TCAGGTGCAACTCAGGAAAGGAACCTATACTAAGAAATGCATTTTGTTACTCACAGTTACAACTCATTTTTTTCTTTTTACCAAAAACTTAATTCAGTAAATTTTGTATGAATATGGTTGGAGAAAATCATTTTGTGATTTAAAAAAAGTGGGTGCATATCTGAGTCAGTGAATGTTGGTGAAATTAAAGTTAATGAAAGAATAATTTGTTGTAAACTCTTTTATTGTCTTACAAACACAACACAACACTGAATTATATTTAGTAAACAACTTCATATGTACAATGTAAAAACATATGATGGTCCATCACTAATCCAGACTAGATGAGTTGGGTTGCAATATTCAACATCCCCCCTCACCAAACTTAGCTAGGTAAAAGTCCTAGGCACTTTTGAAATTTGTGATGTTTTGGTTCGCTTAGTCCTTTAGTAAAAATATCAGCAACCATGTATTCTGTGGGTTGGTAGTTCAATTTTATTTCTCCATTTTGTACTTTTTCCCGTATAAAATGTTCTCTGATACTGATATGCTTAGATTTACTTCCTATAATGGAGTTTTTAGCCATTGTAATAGCTGATTGGTTATCACAAAATATTTCAATGATTTCTTGAGGTCTTCCCATATCATTAATCAATTGTTTTAAATGAATGGCTTCTTTTGCTGCTTCAGTCAATGACATGTATTCCGCTTCACACGTAGACAGAGCTACAGTCCTCTGCTTTTTTGATTCCCAGGAGATTACAGCACCGCCAAATTTAAAACCGTAACCGGTGTATGATCTCCTGTCTTCACTGCATGCCCAATCTGCATCTGCTGCTCCAATTAATGGCTTTTCTGTTTTGAAAAATTCAAGACACAAGTTCTTTGAGCCTTGCAAATATCTGAGAACCCTCTTTGCAGCAATCCAGTGTTCTTTTCCAAAACAAGAGTTATATATTGGCTCAGGTAACTCACAGCATGTGTTATGTCAGGTCTTGTGGCTATTGACAAATACATCAATGAACCGATTAAATTTTGGTATGGGTAGTTACAATCTTTTTCATGTCCTTTAACCAATTTTAGACCTGGTGTTAGTGGAGTTACAGCTGGTTTGCAGTCAGTCATATTGAATTTTTTCAGGACTTCATTTATGTATTTCGTTTGTGACATTGATATCCTTCCATTCTTTCTTGTGAACTCTACTCCCAGACAATAGCTTAGTTCACCTAAATCTCTCATTTCAAAAGTTTTCATGAGCTGGGCTTTGATGTAATTGCGGTACTTTTGGTTCTTCATAGCAATTAAAATGTCATCTACATATACAGAGATTATTGATTTGCATCCACCTACTGTTGAAATATATATACAAGGATCAGCTTGAGATGGTGTGAATTTCAGTTCCTTTAGTTTTTCATCAAGCTTCATATACCACTGTCTTCCTGATTGCTTTAAACCATAAACTGCCTTTTTTAGTAGACAAACCTTTTTGTTTTGAGCATTTTTTCAAGTCAGTAATCATTTTCTTTGTTTTGTTGAATAGTTTTTTATCTTCATTTTCACTCTCATCCACCATTATTTCTTGGAGGTATCTCTCAAAGTTGTTAGGAAGTTCCATGTAAACTTTTTCTTTTATTTCTCCATTTAGAAAAGCAGTTGAAACGTCCATTTGATCAATACTTAGATCATCTTCAACAGCAAGTCCAAGCATAAGTCTTATTGAACTTAGCTTTGCTACCGGAGCAAAAGTTTCATCGTAGTCAATGCCTGGTTTTTTTGCAAATCCTTTTGCTACCAATCGTGCTTTTCTTCTTTCTAGCTCTCCATTTGGTTTTAGTTTCTTCTTTAATACCATTTTACAACCAATTACATTAATTTCTTTGTTTCTATCCTCGAGCACCCAAGTTTCATTTTTTAAATGAGCTTTTATTTCCTCTTTTATTGCTTCATTCCATTCCTCTGAAGATTCTAAATTTGAATCTTCATTGCAGGTAGCTGACATTTGATAATCTTTTGTCCAAAGAGGAGGTTTTCTTTGCCTTTTCTGTGATACCCTTATTTCATCAGTCTCTAAATGTTCATTTGAGCTTAGTGAGTCATCGGGTTGATTTTCAATATCATTTGAGCTTGGTGAATCATCAGCTTGATTTTCAATAGCATCTTCAAAAATAATATCATTTTCCATTTCACTGTCATTTTCTTCTTCAAATATAGTGTCAAAATCAGACTGGTCATTATTATTTTCGCTCTGTTTGATCGGAATAATGCAAAAATCTTGATCTTTTTTATCACTTTCTTTTATTTTATTTTGCTCAAGAAGATTGTAATCATTTACATCTTCATTTCTTTCATAATACATTTTTGAAAGAACTTTTACATCTCTTGCAATTTTTACCTGCTTTTGTTGTGGCATCCAAATTCTGTATGCTTTTGAATTGCTTGCATACCCCACAAATATTCCTTGCTCCGCTTTTGGATAAAATTTTCCTTTTCTTGAAGCTTTGTTTAATACAAATACTTTTGATCCAAATACTTTCAAGTGTCTTGCTGAAGGCTTTCTTCCAGTCCATTTTTCATATGGCGTTAAGTGTTCAGTAGCTTTTGAAGGGCATCGATTTCTTATATAGTTAGATGTGTTAATAGCTTCAGCCCACATACATCCTGGTAGATTTGATTCTATCAGTAAACATCTTGCCATATCCAATAATGTTCTATTTTTTCTTTCAGCCAAACCATTTTGTTGCGGCGTGTATGGAACTGTTAGTCTTCGCCTTATACCACTTTCTTTCAAGAACTTGTCAAATTCACCATTACAATATTCTTTGCCGTTATCTGTTTGCAGAAACTTGATTTTATTTCCTGTTTGATTTTCCACCTCATATTTATATTCTTTGAAACGTTCAAAAATTTCGTCTTTACTTTTCAAAAAATATACATAGCAGTATCTTGAATGTTCATCAATGAATGTTCCAAAATACTTATTTCCTCCAGGTGTAGTTACTTTCATAGGACCTACAATGTCAGAATGTATGACTTCTAACAAGCCTACATTATTTGCAATCTTTCTTGATTGAAATGGTGTTTGTGTCAATTTTCCTTTAATACACGTTTCACATTCTCCAATTTTGTCTTTCATGTTGAAGGTTAATCCATTCAAAGATTCATTTTTTAAAGCTATTTTTAAGTCAACCTCGTTTAGATGACCTAACTTCTTATGCCAATCTATGATCTCAGGTTCTTTTGTATAGTTTGATTTTTCATTTACCATTATAGATTTTGTACTTTTGACATAATAAAGAAAGACCACCCTGGCGTTCTGCTGCCACAATTACATTTCCTCTTTGGTTTTGTACGACAGCTTTCTCTTTTTCAAAAATCACTTTAAATCCTTTATCTGTTATTTTACTGACACTCAGTAGATTTGTTGCCAAGTCTGGTACAAACAGAGTGTTATTCAAGTGTATGATTTCAGAATTTTTTAATTCCAGCGAAACCGTTCCTGTTCCAGAAACGTCAGATGTCTTTCCTTTAGAAGCAAGTTTCAAAATTCCGTTTGAATTTTTGATATCTCTGAACTGTGATTTCTCTCCACACATGTGCGATGTACATCCATTATCAATACACCAATCAGATGAAGTAGAATTTAAAATGTCCAAATTTGAAGAGAAACATTCAGCCTCTGCTTTAAAACTATTTCCCATTTGTTTGGATCTACAGTTGTTGGCTTTGTGTCCGATTTTTCCACATCTAAAACATTTAACTTTGAAACCTACTTTTGTAGTGTTGTTCTCATCTTGTTTCTTATGACTATAAGTGTTGTGAATACCTTTCTTGGAGTTGAACTGCTTTGTTTTGCAATACAATGTATCTTCATTATTCGTACAAGTGTCTTTTGACCTAGCTTCACTCTCCTCAATTACTTTTATTTTTAAATCATTAGGAGAAGGTAAAGTGTCTCTAGACTCAATTGCTACCCGGAAGTTTTCAAATGATGATGATAAGCTGTAAAGTAGCATAATGCTAAGTAAGTCTGAATTGATAATGATGTCCATTTCTTGAAGTTTGTCAACAATCTCCATAAATTTGTTGACATGATCCCTAGCATCTTCTCCATCTTTCATTTTATGAACTATTAACTGCTTTAATAATGTGGCTTTCCTTGCAAGACCTGAACTTTGGTAATTGTTCTGCAGGCAATCCCATACTTCTTTGGAAGTTTTGCAGTTTTTTACTAATTTCAATTCACTAGGTGAAATTATCAATATTAGTTCTGATTTTGCTTTAAGATCTTTAACTATCCAGGCATTCTTACCAACTTCATCCTCAGGACATTTGTTCTCCCCAGATACATATTCCATTAGGTTTTGTTGGATTAGTATAGCTTCAGCTTGAATTTTCCAAGTGTCATAATTATTTCGTTTCAAAGGTTCAATTCTATAGCCAAAACTCATTTTACTTATTTTTAAGCACAGAATACTGTAAAATGATTATTTTAATATTCCAATTGGCCCATAACCTTTGTTGGTGAAATTAAAGTTAATGAAAGAATAATTTGTTGTAAACTCTTTTATTGTCTTACAAACACAACACAACACTGAATTATATTTAGTAAACAACTTCATATGTACAATGTAAAAACATATGATGGTCCATCACTAATCCAGACTAGATGAGTTGGGTTGCAATATTCAACAGTGAACAAGCAAGAAACAAAACAATTTGTGTACAAAAGTGTCCTATTTTAATTATATCCACTGGACTGACTTGAAAATATTTTATCTTGAGAAATGGAAAATAATAGGATCCCCAGAAAAATGAGTGAGCTTCACATGAATGGAAGAGGACCATAAAGAAGGTGGATTGAAGATGTGGAAACAAGAGGAGTGCAGTGGGAGTATGTTGAGGAAGAGGAATTTTGGAGGGAAAGAAGAAGATGCCTCGTGAACACCTAGACCAGGAGATAACCAGAACGGGAGAGGATATGTATGTATGTAATCGTCTAATGGTGAAAAAAGACGCCAAACTTAGTTAAATAATCACTTTATTGACAATGATCATTAAGGTAATGAACACATGGCACATTATTTACATGTTTAGTATATAACTAAAATTATGTTTGTACATTTACTGTACAACATTATGCATAAAAATGAGTCATAATCTACACAAATTTAATTTTTAGAGTATGTTAACAGTTATGAGTAACAATTAAAACATGATAATATGAGTTTTTGATATGCGTAGGTAACATCGAGAAAACTCGGATAGGACATTTTGAGGTATAATTCTTGGCAAGTTGTTGATTTGAGGTGAAAATATTCAAAACTGAATTAAATTGATAAAATAAAATAAAAATATTTGAATTTAGTATCATTAATGTCTAAACAAAAATGATATTACCTGTGAAAAGGGTTCTCACATCCTTATTTAAATTTTTAAGGATTGCTCGTACTACAGTAAAATCTCTTTACACCCAGTAAATTGACAGTCGACAGCCAACAGGGCTCATGCAAAAAAAATTGTTTTACTTTTGGAATATTCAACATTTCTTTAAATACCTTTTACTCAATGTAAAAATACCGATGTAAAAATTTAGATGTAAATATACGTTTAATAAAACCCATAACAAATTTCAACGATCTGGATAACTCGACAACTTTTGGGTCCACAAACTGTCGAGTTAGTTAAGTTTTACTGTAATACAATATAAAAAATGAAAATATATATTTCAAAATATTTAATGCAGGCGGCACTATTTCAAAAATATAAAAAAAATGATAAATTTATGTCTCACTATTAATCTGTCCCAGAACAATAATAGGTATCTTTTTGATAAAATTGTAAAAAAAAAACTCTTATTAAAAAAAGGCTCATGTCTTGTACACAATTTATTTCAATCTCTTTAGGCTTTGGCTAGAGTAAAAAATCCCAAAATACATTGAGGAAGAAACTTTCAAGGATTTTTCTACAACCAAATTAATTTTTACAGAAATTAAAATTTTCCAATGTCTTCTATTATAGCAGACACAAACTTGCTCCTTTTCTAAATAAAACCGGAATTCTTACAGGAAGTCATACAGGAAAACAGGAAGTCTTAAGTGCTATCATAACGAAAAATGGCAGTTATCAATATTCCTGATACACAAAAGTCTATTAATACTTTGTTAAGATAATCTGACAGTAGTTTAATGAGTAGTACATTTACATTAAATAAATATTAACTGCTAAAAATTACGATTAGTACACAGGCATTAAAAATACAAGTTATACGAGAAACTCACCATTCATTTCACATCAATACACAGAAAATGTGATAAATCTCAAATAAACAAATTAACTAAGATCTAAACTTTGATAAATTAACATTTAATACAAATTCAAAGGCACTTGATGCTAAGCAGTATAATGTATTGTTTGAGAAGCGTATTTCAGCTTAGCTGATTATAATATACACACATTGAGGTCTAAGATTAAAACTAGACTTTAAGTAAATATATGAGTTACATGCATTTTGATTCTATCGGCTCCTTAATTATAAAATACAATTATTTACAGATAGGGAAGATTAAGGTGGGATGACGGTTCCTTAGATGTAGACTACGTTTTCACTACCTCAATAAACTGAGGTTATGGAGTAAACCGAAATATCAAACAAAACTTTAGTACGGTTTGAAAAAACACAGATCTGAGTAATTACAATCTTTGACTAGGCCTATTGTTTGAAGTAGACATCCATTCTTATGATTTAGCTCAAGCCTGTTTTAGGAAAAAAAATTAACTTATTTGAATTGGGCCACCGAGGACGTGAGTGTGATTATGTCAAACAGAAAGGACAACTGTATAAGATAATATGGCAGATTAAACGTCAATTTGATTATAGTAGTAACAAAAACTAATAGAATTTTGACATTCGACTATGTTCAACTTGAATTTAGCTATACCTTGTGCATATGTGGATGTATACTTCAGTATCCAAAAGTTAAAGCTACAGAAAAATGAGTTTAATAAGATTTGTTAACACATTAGCTGCAGCTTACAAAGAAAATTTACACACTTGCCAACCAGAATTGAGGCTGATTTGTTGATTAGTGTGCATTTCTTCTGAAAATGTATTACTCTCAAATATATGGATGCCTCCAAACAGGGAAGCAAATCCTCATTATTAATAAATCGGTCCCGGGTCTAGGTCTTATCATGAAACCTATGGATTACCTAAATAACATTTTCTGATGAAAATGTTCCTGCATTAGGATATACTGGGATTTGTTGGCAACTATGCTGTGCTGCTACCTATTGATCTTTCATAGAACTACCCCAAATCATTCAGATATTGACATAATGTGTCTTTAATATTTGTTAGAACAGAATATGAAAATTAATTCCAGCAATGAGCATATTCCCATTAACTAACCACTCTTTGGCAGCACCCATATATTGAACGACTGCAGCCAATACGTTAATAAATACATTTCTTTACAAAACAAAAAAAAAACATAAAAAACGACACATCAAAACTTATTTTTGATTTCCATTTCTTTATGAAATGTTCATGACATTTCACTGGGCTAGAATCACTCACCAGCTGTTCTAAGACTTTGTCCTTTTCAGCAAAATAAACTGTCTAACAAGTTTTAAACAGACCTCAATATGCAACCACATTGGTCTTGGACCCTTTGTCATATGTTAAACATTCATTATTTGTGCAAAGTAAAAAATGTCACTTTAAACTCGACATTTGAAAACAACCTAATCATTTAAAAACAACAATGTTAAACATTTTGTTAAATAACAAATCGTACTTTAGAAATTCTCCGTAATCTTTTCAGTCCTTAGTGATGTGTAAACTCGACTGAGTCTATTGTGGTTAGGAAGTTAAACAATTACAGGGTGTCCAGTACTTCTTAATGGTAAGACCTGGGGCCCATTTCATAATAAACTACAAGTTACAAGTTACAACTTGTAACTTGTAATTTCCATTAGATTTGCATTGGGCGATCAGCTGATTTACTAATAATATTAATTTGTACTTTATTATGAAATGGGCCCCAGCTGTTATTTGACATTTAGCTTCTACATACGATTAATATTGCGTCAATATTCTTATGATGGTAATCCTGAAGAACTTTTGTTAAAATAGGCATGTTTAAAGATTAGGCCTATATTAGTAAAAATAAAACAGCTTATAATAAAATTTGTCTCCCAAAACTTTTCAATACCTCATTATAAATATTGCCAAACCAAAAATCTATTTTGGGTATGTTAGCGTCTCAGACTTAAGTAAGAGAGGGGCGGGTTCAATTCCCGGAGCATAACCAAAAAAATTGAGGATTTTGGACAGCTTTCCCTTGTATCGTTTGCAATAGCGCTTCTTCTATGGAAAATGCCAATTTGTTTACAAAATAATTTCTTTTTCATTTTCCGTGTTACTGGACACCCTTTTGTTACTGTGAGGTTGAGGTTACTGGATATCTAATATGAGAACACTTATGGGGTGAAATGGTGTCTATAGAATGACACATTTCTTCTTGCGCTTGTTTGAGTTTGGTTTGAGAGGCGGCCTTTCCGATAGTTGGAACTTGCGAACGATGCGGACCAACTCGTGGAACGCCTGATCTACGTTCATCCGTAGCTTGGCGCTGCACTCTATGTACGGGATTTTCAACTGTCGCGCCAAGTTCTGTGCGTCTGCCGTTGAAACCTGGAAACCGTAAGAATGTTGTTGAAAGTCATAAACAATTCAATATAAGCTTCAGTTCATTAAACAGTGAATTATAAGAGAATATAATGTTTTTTTGTTTTTTTTTAAAGAGTTTGGCGGCCTCTTTTAACCTTGCATTTGCCCGTCCACATAGACTACAGATCTGTGCGTGGAACGTATCCAGCAAAGCAAGGGGTGAGCCGGTACAAAGGTGAACTGTACTGATAAAAGTTAGTGGCAGTGACCAGGATCCGAACCCACGACACTACTGCATTGGGCCCAGAGTCCGCGACCGACTGAGCCACAGACTCACCAAAAAAATAGGTTTGTTCAGTTCCTATTTTGGACTAAGTACATAAAGTAGTAGTAAAATTATATTGATTTGCGACTGATGCTTCTAGCTTTGGAGGATAAAAAAATAACGGTCTTATACTGAAATCCAAAATACCCATTTTATGGTACTGTACTTAAATACACATTAATGAACTTCTAGCCTTCAAGTAAAATAACTGTTATCTGACTCACTAGACATCTTGATTAATAATTAATTGAAACTCAAATAAACAGTAACAATCTGACACATACATTCTTCCATTAGCTTGTCAACAATGCTTATCAAGTGCATCCAGTGGAAGTAATTACAATATTGTATTTTATGAGGAAAATCAGCACCTGTTGATGACAATTATCGAGTACAGATGGAGGTAGGGCCTACTTTGTCCACAGTACTTACCACTCTTTGATGTTCTAGATCAGCCTTGTTGCCGACCATCAACATCGGAAACTCGTCTCTGTCTTTCACCCGGAGGATTTGCCGGTGGAACTTGTACATCTCGTCGAAGCTGGCTTTATCCGTGACGGCAAATACTAGTAGAAAGCCTTCCCCGGACCTCATGTACTGCTCCCGCATAGCCGAGAACTCCTCTTGTCCTGCCGTGTCCAGAACTGCAACAATCGGGATTTTAGTATACATTTCTATACCAATAACCCACCAAACAGTAAAGGTGTCTGACATACCTCTGTAAAAATAGATGAGGGTGGAACCATTGGAATTTGATTCTGAAGTAAGACATTCTATTCTCATGTTGATGTTGTCAACTAATAATATATGTTTCCTGATTTTATTGTAGCCTATAACATATCATATTAAATTGTATTAATTACAATTGTATCAAATACCGCCGCTGCAGAAAACCGGAAGACTAAGCAAATTTCCATTAACCTGATTAAATTTTTAATTTTTAAACCAAATTTTACCCCACAAAACAACGATAACATCATGCTAGTTCACAAACCCGGTTGAACAAACATCGGTTTACAAGTTTTACCACATTTTATCAAAATCGGATCATTTTTATATTTGAGTTATCAAGCAAATGGACACTTTTATGTATGAATTTGAGCAGATGGTGTTTTTGGAATCTGATTATCAAAACAAAAAAGTAAATCATTCCCGGGTCTAGGTCTTACCATGAGACCTACGGTAATAGCATGGATAAAACATAACTTACTCCCTTACTAGATTTGTCATCCTTATGGATTAGCTTAAAATTTTATTGTTAGTTCCGTCTGGTGCAACAAGGATCGTGTTTTTATTCACAATTTATTTCAGTTATTTAAAACCTTTCAACTATAAACAATAGCTCGTCTCCTAGTTATATGACCAAACAGTGATGCTCAAATCATGAAAAAAACCCTTAAATAATAGAAAAAAATGTCGTTGACACTAGCGCCCATTGTCACCAACTAGTGTTGTTTAGTCTATTGTAATAGCTTGTGGGAAATTCTCCAATATGCTTATAATCCTGAGTACATGAATAATGATTATACGTTTCAGCCAATTTGGTCCAGTGGTTTTTGACAGAAATAGTCTCTTTCTTACAAAAAATATACTATAACAAATATACAGGGTGAGTTTTAATTGTCCCCCCCCCCATCTTTTTCTACATTTTTTCAAATATAAATCCCAGACCACTTCCAAACATTGTTGGGTAGTAAGTACTTCATTTTGACAAGGTGGTCATTTCCGGCCGCCATCTTGGATCCGCCATATTGGATGCAAAATATTTTTTTCAAATGTAAAGCTGGGGTTGTGACCCATTATTTCGAACTAGATTTTTACCCTGATTACAATGCCACAAACCGTTTTTAAAAATCTTGATCCATTCCAAAGTTATGAGGGCTTTTTAAAACTTTATTTTTAGCCCATTTTAACATTGTGCATTTACAAACTAAGACCATAATCTCAAAATAGTGCTAGATAAAGATAAGTATATACTACCAGTCATTGTCTACCTATTTTTACTTGGTTATGACGGATGTATTTTTTTCGGCCGCCATCCGCCATTTTGAAATGTGATAAACTATTTTAAATATGAAGGGGGTGTTGTGACCCATCATTTCGAGTTACTTTTTTTAGCTGAACTCAATTTCATGATCTGTTTTTCAACTTCATATTTTGATTTTGAAATTTTGATTTTTTTAACAAAAAAATGGCAATATTTCATAAATAAAACTAGATAACAAAAAATGGATTGCAGCTTTGAGTTAAGCTTAAAAAAGTCATTCGAAATGATGGGTCACAACACCCCCTTCATATTCAAAATAGTTTATCACATTTCAAAATGGTGGATCCAAGATGGCGGCTGAAAAAAATACATCCATCATAGTTTTAATAGTTTTTTTAATAAGATGTGTTCAGAATTATGTGAGCCATCGTATTTAATTTTTTCCCCATAAGGTTAACATAGGAAAGTGGGTATGCTTGTTTTCTATCATTCAAAATGAAAAAGAAGGAAATTTTAGGCCATTATGCAATACTTCTCAACTAGGAGAACCCATATACCAACTTTTATTAGGATGCGTTTAAAAATTAGCTAAATATAAATTTTGTTAATTTGGCTTAAATTTTTTAAATTTTTGATACGTTACAATATTTTAGATTTTGACAAACATAATCCCAATAAAAGGTATGCATAAATTCACATTTCCTTGTTCTCCATTAAATTCTACAACTTTTGGTAAAGTTGCAAGCCAAAATCTTGAATGGTTACTACATGAAGAGCTGTCAAATGCAAAAAATAATTTTTAATCTAGATTTTTTTCAAAAATATTTTACTTTTAAACTTATTTTTATTAGTCATAACCAACATGTTTGCCCAAAATAGTAATGAAATCTCTTTGAAATTTAATATTCTATCTATCAATGCAAGTTTTATCAAAATATCTTGCCAATTTTTCAATCTAGAGGTCAAAATGTTCAACAGATACACTTAAAACCTAAAAAAACCTATTTTTTCATATAACTAGAAAACGAGCGAGTTTAGGACATATGCTTATAGAACATTTTTTGCCAGTTTTGACCCCAGGAACCATTTCCTGAAGTTTGTCAGGGTTCACGTGAAACACCCTGTATAGTTAATGAAAACATTGGTAAAAAGATGTTTTCTGTTATGTATCACACACAACAAATTATATATCACACGTTTCCTCAATATATCAATACTTCTCTAGCATGTTATACAAATTATCACTCACTGCCTGGGGAAAGAACGTTAAACAAATGTCGTGAGCAGAACCAATCATATTTATGTTTATATAAGTACAAAAGCACGAATAACAGAGGTATTGTGCATGTGACAGTGATGATTTACATAAAGTGTGACATAACATTGGCATTTATACCTTCAGTTTTACTCATAGATTAAAGTTTTAAAATGTAGAAAGACATAGCAATAGTGAATGTATTATGTATTAGTGTTGAGAGTTTATTTACACAGTATAATCATTTATATGACAAACATCAAAATTAATCAGTCTTATAGCTGTTATAATCCTTCAATATTTTAAGTAAGTGTATATTTTTTTCTGTGTAATTGGCAACCTTATTTTTAAGGCAGACTTTTATAAATAAATTCTTTTCTCTAGAACGGTTGCAATTTTATTGTTTATGATTTACATCTATACTAGTGTACATGTTGCTCGAATTCGAGCAATTGCAAAGTGTTACAGGATTTATTTTAAAACGAATAACAGTCATATTTACAATTAATTTAAAAGAGTCAACTCAAGATTACCGGTGTGTAACTCAGACCGTGTTTATCTTCGTTATTGATAAACCTAAATCATTCCGGCCGGTTTTCTCCTTCTCAAAATGCCTCGCTGTCCAGGCAACACAGGTCATTGACAGAGGGCCAATTGAGAACGAAAAGTCGTTTTGGGGTAGTGTTAGGGTGCATTTGTAACCAATAGTTGAAATTGTCCAGGGTCAGGTGCTGACTGTGATGAGTTAAACCTATTACGCGCCACTGTTCTGTAGCTGCGGTCGTTATCACGATTACGCCTCCTGTCTATGTTTCGTTGTCGTCGCGTCGGAGGCATTTAAAAGAAGAAAAAAAAACAAATTATAGCTACACAAAACAACGATAAATGCACAAATTTAAGTTACAATCATGCTAACACGATCCGTCGTAGCGACACAAAACAACGATAAATACACAAATTTAAGATACAACCATACTAACACGATCCGTCTTGGGGGTTATGTTTAAACAAACTCAAATAGTAAATAAACGTACTCAATGTGTTTCATTGAATTGAAAAATAAATAACAGCAGTTAAATTATACAGCTGATCAAAATGTAAACAATTATGTTTTTCATAAGGATAACATGGGAACTTTCAAAGCCACTGGGGCAGAGCCCAAGGGACTTTAAAAAAAATGTAAGGCCAGTTTGCAAATCTACGCGACACGCTCTTTCCAATGAGACATCAATGGATAAAATCGGTTAAGAAATGGCGGAGGAGTTCAACCGACAAAGTTTCATGTAGCGTATTAATTATATAGATCTATAAAACAGGAACTATGTATGTGTGTGTGTATATATATATATATATATGTATATACGTTATGGACTCCGAAACCGCTGGACAGATAGATTGTAATGAATCTTTCAGGCATTATTAAGCATCTTTCAAGGATGGTTCGAGTGAAGTTTGGTGATGATCTGTCAAAAGGGCTCTGCCCCAGAGGGTTTTAAGTGGGCCAATGTCAGACTTTTTGATCTACAATGTTTACAAATAAATATAATTTAAAAGCAGATGTTTACTTTCACCAACTGTTTTGTAGGTTTGAATAATTACAACATTCTGTATTAGCATTAGTCATGATTTGAAATAGTGCCACAGTGTTTCTACAGAGTGCAGCACAGAAAACTATTTTACTTTTGAAAAAGTCCAAATGTATTAAATCCCAATCACAGCACACATGTGCACTTAACAATGTTTAAACTCTCCAATGTTAAATATTAAAACATAAAAACCTTTATCAAAGTATTATAAACAATAAAAGGGATGACTTTTTAAAATTTATGACAACAGCTAATTTGCAACCAAAAAGTGAGTGAGCGTAGCGAACGAACATCAACCTGGAGGCGAGTTAGCGTAGCGAACGAGCTAACCTGAAAACAAGTGAGCACAGCGAACGAGCTCCAACCTAAAGGTGAGTGAGCGTAGCGAACGAACTTCAACCGGGACAAGATTAAGCCATGCGAATACTTATGAAGTTAAACGAGGCAAAGCCCGTGGGTACAGCTAATAATTTATAAAACTGACTATAGCAACATGAGAATGGGTTGAAATAAAAAATATAAGTTAGTGCAATACTAGTCCACCCTTGCAGAATTCCCATATCTCTAATAAACTATATTTTAAAGGTTAATGGTTATTGCATACAATAAACTTATATATATACATTTTTTTATAATTCAAATAAATAAAATTAATTATTACAGTATTAATTTAAAAATTAAAACCCTAACACTTTTGGAAAGTAAGATTAATTTATTATTTCAATTTTTAAAACACTAAACAAATAATTTATCTTTTCAAAACTAAATTTGTCAACATTTCAAAGATTATGCATTTAATATTGTCCGAAATTAAATCTAAATCTGTAGTGTAAAAATTATTCTACTTAAAAGAATAAGAAAAAGCTAAGTATTTTCTGTAGCTAAACATCACGGGAGTTAAAAAGTATTACAATTCATCTCAAAACAAAACCATAACCGATGATTCATCTTGCCAAACAGTATTCCTGTAAGGTTTTAATCCAAACTAAATAAATACGAGAGATCGAGGGTTGAACACTACAACGGTGAGCGCAGATGGGTTGTTTTGTGTGAGGAAATTGAAGGCTGTCACATTACTGGGTTATTATCACCCCTACAGCAGTGAACAACCCTCACTGCCACCTGCTACAGGTTAATAGTGTAATTCAACAACATTGTGTTATAAGGTCAATGGTTATAGTATATTTCATCATTAGAGCCTAGATTATTGCTTGACATGAGCTAATTTTCAATGACTAAAAATTATCGGATTTATTTTCTAATTTACTGAAATTAATTTTAATGAGTACTTAGGTTTGCTGCTACAGGGAAGGTAATAAAGTTTTCTTATTCAAATGTAAATAGCTTAGTATGAACCAAATGTTTTAAAATTTGATTGAAATATATCCCCAAGAAAGTAAACTAAAACAGTTTATTTGTTCTCCATAAGAACAACATGGAAATTTTAAATTGATAGTTATTATTTGCATTTTTTTTTTAACCATTAGACGTACAAAGTTTCAATTTTTGATTTGTTTTCTGAGCTCTACAAAATAATTAAGAAATATTTTAAAACTTGGAAGTCAAAAATTAGGAAAACCAAAGTTTTATCCCAAAAAAACCTGTTCCCACAGCTTGATCATGTTGGTTTGCAAAACTCGTTTAAATAAACGTAGGTTTTATCGTCTATACAAAATTCCATTAAAATCAAACCAAATTTCTAAAAAAATCAGTTGATTTTTACTCAAGTTATTGTGCTAACAGATACGTCATATAGGCCTATATATATGAACTTAAAAGGATGGTGTTTTGGCATCTGGGGACATCAAAACAAAAAAAGTAATCAGCCCTGGGTCTTGGTTTGACCATGAGCCGATGGTTAGCTTATTCCCTATATGGAGAATTCTGACTAATTTAGTAAGACTAAGTAATGAACCTCAACTGGCAATTACCTCAGCTGGGTTGTAGGGTTATGCCTGAGGCTCAGTGGTTATAGTAAGCTAATTTCAAATTCGCCTCTTATCATTTGAATTTGTTTAAATTGCGGCTAAATGGGTTTTCTTAAGAACTTAGATTAAAAGTCCATCATTATTGATACAAACTATTCCTCAGAGTAAAGACTATTTATCTTCTATTTATGCTATTTATCTTCACAAGAAAAATAGCAGAATAATCGTGAAAATCTTTACAATTTGGATTACATAGAAGCAGGTATTTAAACCAATTTATATATTCAACAAAATCCTGAGGCTAACATAAAAAATAATCGTGAGTTCAAAAATGTAAAACTTTAATAATCACAAGAGTGGCAGAAAGAAAAAGACTAAAAGAGTAGAATCATAAAAGTAAAAACAAGTCTGACGAAAAAGCCAAAGATGAGATTGGAAAAAGACGACCAAGGACATTACAAACACTGAGTGCCAAAATAAACAAGCGGGATTAGGTAGCATAGAAGAGGTTAGTCGAATTGCAAAATCAGCTGATATTTGTTGAGCAGGGAGTTAAAAATAGAAAACCCAAAATACTTGACAGTGCCATAAGTGAGTTAAATATACTAATAACTTTATAGTAAGTAAATAAAATAAGTAAAAATAGAGGAAATTAAAAATCGTTTTCAATTTTTGTTATTTCTTTGAAAACGCCTCAAAACTTATTTTTACAAGGCATGGCAAGAGAATATTATAAGAGGAAAAAGGCTTACATTATTGCCAACCCGTATCAAACATTCAGAACAGTTTATTGGTTCCATCGTGTTTGTGTACATCCAGAACAAACAAAACAAGATACAATTAAACCTCCTTAATTTATTATATAGATTACAATTTTAATTTAAGAAAGTGTCTCTCAAAACATGTGATAAACGGTCGGAAATATAAAAATCTTTGGACTCCCATAAATACATATAGAATTAAAAGACTACTGCAAAATAAAGCTACAAATACTATAATGACTCATAATAAACATTACAGCTAAAAATAGTAATATAGTAAAAATTCACAAAATAAGCTGTGCTCATGTACGGCATCTACTAATAAAACATCTACCAGTAGAGAACTAGTTTTTAATTAAGTGTCAACAAAGATAGGTGCTAATTTATGTAACTAATCAAATTCAAATTTTCCTACATTTCACCTTAATAGTCAAGTGAGAAATCTTCCTAGAATTTCATTATGATCTGCAAGAAAAATATATGGTTAGTTTTGAAAACAAATGTTATTAGCGTATTTTAGAACATGCCTCCTAATTTTTTAAGGTTAAAAATCCATAAACGCATAGCAAACTTGTAAGATTTCTTAACTATATCATCTACCTATTTTAAATGTTTGTTTTCATAAATAAAAGTGTTTCAATGAATAATTTTAAGAAATTAAAAAGATAATTCTTAGTGTAGATTAATTTTTAATACTCACTGTCTAATTTGGCAGGAATATCGTCTATTACACATTGTTTTGTGTACGAGTCTTCAATTGTTGGATCGTAGTCCGTTACAAAATAACTCTGAAACAGAGGGGGGGAAATTAGATCGATGAAAATCAAAATATGGAACAGTCCAGAAGAAACACGCATAACAGAAACAAACACACACAAAGATTAGAAATTAGTTTTTGATTGACTACCAGAAATTAAATAAACGTAAACAATTTCCAAAGTGAGATAGATTGCTATTTTTAAACTGAATAAACTGTAGTTGTATCACAGTAAAATCAAAGAAATAAATTCGCATTACTTTTAAAAATAGCCAACTTGTATAAATTAGAACAAATATGCACTAAGATACCCCCGCCGCAGCAAACCTGCAGACTAAGCGAATTTCCATTTGTCTGATTTGATTTTCAGTTAAATATATTTTATTAACATTAGGTTTAACGAGTACCTAGGTTTCCTGCTACGAGGAAACTAATAAAGTGTGTTTTTGAGTAAAATATTGATAGCTTTAGTACAAAATAAATAAATTTGCCAAGTTTGATCAAAATATATCCATAAACAAGCAAACTACAACATTTGACAATATTCTCCATAAGAATAACATGGGAATTTTAAATTTACAATTTTTTTAATTTTCTCCGTTACTAATAACCGAACAAAAATACTTATAGATACTAAATTATTTGTTTTTTTATGCTCTTTAAAAAGGTCTAAAGAGAAATTGGGAAATTTTGTTTTTACCCCATAAAACCCCCAGTAAAGCCCCGTTCCCATGGTCCGATCATGCTGGTTCGCGAACTCATTCAAGTTTATCCCGCTTTACACCTTTAAACCTTATTTCATCAAAATCAGACAAAAATTACTCAAGTTATCGCGTTCACGGACGTGTATATATATATATATAAGTGTATATATATATATAAGTCTATATATATATATATATACATATATAAAAATTTGAACGAATGGTGTTTTTGGCCTCTGGGGACATCAAAATGAAAAAGTAAATCGGTCCCGGGTCTATAGGTCTTACCGTGCCACCTACGGTAATAGCTACTTCCCTATAGGGAAATTCGCTAAAAAAACGTTTAATTGTAGTTCCACATCAACCCAACACAGTTAAAATTTAAAATGATACCTAGAACCAAATTAGACTTAATTAAAATGTGGCATATCGATAAGGGTAAACTTCATAGAGACTAAAAATACCTCCACCGCAGAAAACCTGCAGGCTAAGCAAATTTCCGTTGTCTTTTCACCATAATATTTTCTTAGGTTAGGTCTGCTGCTACTAACACATGCTACTACTAGTACATGGAAGGTAATAAATTGTGTGTTTTTTTGTAAAATATAAACAAATTATGCAATTAATAAATTAGCTAAATTTGATCAACAAACATCCCCATAAGCAAATTAATAACAAGGGTTTATTTATATTCCAAAAGAATGTAATATGAACATTTTAAATTTAAATTTTTTTCTACATAACTATTATGGGAGGAATGAATTGAGCAATATGATGTTTTGAAGGTCAAAAATAGGAAAACCAGTTTTTACCCCCATAAAATCCTGTTCCTGTTATCCTATCATGCTGGTTCTCGAACTACCTTTTTGGAATAAGCATAGGTCATCTGTTTGTACAAAATTTCACCAAGTTGGATATTTGTTCGAGTTATTGAGCTAACAAACTATATACATATTTGTTTATATGGATAAGGGATTGTGTTTTTGGCTTCTAAGGACAATCAAAATGAAACAGTATTACGGTGAGGCTCCAGGTCTTAACATAAAACATATGGTAATAGCGCATTACCTATAAGGGAAATTCGCTAAAAATACTAGATTGTAAACATTATGTCTAGGCTAGTTAGACTGTGTGCTAGTTGTTGGATTATGCTATGGAGTGTGTTTATTGGGCCATTGGTAGTATTATCATTTCCCATCAGTTTTTTTCTAAAAGAGTCCCCTAAGAATATGCATGCCTTGCGCATGATACTTTGATGACAGGGTGGGGGACATTGCAGTGCCAAGGTCGGGGGCGTGTCAACCAAGGCCATGGTGACGTCACAGAGTTACGCTCCCGATGCCACATAAGGCGCTTCAGCCTGTCTGTCTACGTCACTAGGTAGCAGCCGACCGCTAGCCGCTGGACCACCTGTTCATCTTGATACCGTGCCTGTAATGTTTACGTTTAGTGTTCGAAATAATCTTTGGAACATTTTTCGGTCGTAAAATAAATTAGCTTTGATTCAACGACTAATTGAACTAGCCTTTTATATTGACGAAATTAAGTCTTCCAATACTTGTCCATGTATTTTCACTTTATTGTAAACATTTTAAACCCGGTGAATACACACGTACGATGTTACAATTTCGACCAGTTATTCCGGTCATCATCAGGCAGAGTTTTCTACATTTGCACTACTGTATTACAAAGGTTGCGTTAGTTGGCAGCCTACGGTTTGGAGTTGCAAGTTCCTTGAATGGTAAAGGCGTTTACGGGGCCACGGCCATTCCGGGGTCGACTGTTGACTGAACCACATACAACACGGAACCGCAGCCGAAACCTCTAACCGCAGCGTTGGTCCTCCGCACCGGATAATGACGATCCCGTCAACCTCGTCCTGTGCTCCTGCTTTTGTCAGTTTCTTTTGTCACAGTAGGGAAACGCAGTGGAAGATACGCAGCAAGTATCTTGAATACCAGTAAACGTTTTTAGCTAACCTAAACTTAATTTATAAATTAAACCCCCTTGCGGATTTGGCTTACTTATGGTCCAGCTGACTATTTTAAGGTTAGATTCGTCCACCGTCGTGGGAATTTATTGCTTACTGTTTGTTTTAGAGTTAAAATTATTTTGAAATTAGTTCAACTAAACAAAGCTATTAAATTACAAACCAATAGCTTGTCCCCTGCTATCAAAACCAAACAATAAAGTAGAAATCGTAAAATCTACCCTGAAATAAAAATAAATTTAATCGACATTAGTGAACTAAAAAAAGTATACTTGCACCATTCAAAGTCAAACTCATTTTCATGTGAATGGATGCAAACACGCCAACTTCCTCCCAGTCATTTATCAGTACAACATTACTAAAATTCTAATTGCAACTAAACAGGAAATGCTAGTCTTTTTAACTGGAGTTTTTTAATGCATTAATGTAAATCCAAACCAAGAGTGAAAACTTAAGTCGACACCTTCAAGACGCAGCCATCTTAAAAACAGACATAACAGAGGTTTCATTTTTTACAAAAGGATGGTTTTACAATGTTTCATAGTCTACACTTATATTCTAAAACATCAACTTGTAATCATTTATTCTTTTTACGGTGCATTGACCTTGTTGAGGTCATCGTAGTGGTCAGGTTTCCTTACACAGAGACACAAACACAAGCAGCATACTGATCAGCTGTTTTCCCATTCTGGGGATAAACGGGAAAAATCTGCCGTTTGTCACAGCGTTCAAGATGTTCGAGTTCAAAAAGTGTTGCAAGGACAATTTAATTATGCTATTGGGTAGTGGCCAATGACTTCTATCTTTATCCATAGGCCTAATATAACTTTCGATTAGACATTCCATCCAAGACATAGTTGTATTTGACTATTGTTAGAAGTGTATTCCCGTGTTGCCGTTGTATAATACAAATGGCCCACCGAAAGGTGTGCTGATGTCCACTGATTTCTTGTGCGTCATTATGTTTAGTCAAGCTAAGCTGAAAGGACATGTGTATTCTATATAATCTTGTATTCTTCAAGGATGTTTCAACAACTAAAAGAAACAACTTAATTTCGATAGCAGTGTGCTCTTTTAGTAACTCATTTAACCATTATAATTGAACATATTGGCTACAGGTGGTCTAAACAGATGGGATGTCCACTCCGATATCCAAGTCGTATAGTACTCTAGGGTAGAGACACGAAGACTTCAAGGAAATAACACTCTCATGGAGGTTGTCCATTACTTCCAGCGACTCAATTAGCTGTATGATCAGAGCCTGCTGAGAGGAGAATTGGGACAATTATATAATTTGGCGGCGCAGACAAGCGAGCACTGTAGCTTCATTGAGATACGACTTTCAAAAATATACGTTTGCATAGAAATCTTCATGTACATGTGTAGTTGTATTGTGTACTCGTTGATGTGTAGAGATTCCATATGTGTAATTTCCATGTGTAGAGAGTTCCATGTACACTAAATATATTGTAGCCTAATCTTGATTAACATCGAATATTTATTGTGTAGACTTAAGCTTTTAAATGACCAATCTGAATTCGATTTATTATTAAGTCCATGCTTAAGACCTTCTGGAAGAGTAGTGAGACTTCCTTGAAGGTTGAACTTGAATTAGTCAGTCTTAGTAAAATTGATTTATTCGCGGTATAACCATTTTACAATTATGTATCACATTAATTCATGCACAATACATTATGCCAAATAACAAATGATAAAGTATCTCTTGATCAATATAGTAATAATAAGAAACCAGATACAAAATGATTATTAGTGTTACAAACAACAGAGCAATAAATATTGCAAGATAACACTTTTTAATAAATTATGCCACACATAAATTGATAAGTATTTCGAAATGGAAACATTAAAAATGAAAATAAAGTAAATATGACAAGGTGGTTACTTTATTTTGCAGAGTATACGATCGAAAAGTAAATAAGAATAAGAAATTTCCGTATAGTGTAACCGGATGTGCGTTGGTTTTGCGTAGCTAATAAAATACAGCAGACGCTTTATTTTGACAATACAGTACCCTAGAGAGGATATCGATAGGTTTCCAGCTCGTGGAAAGTTTAAGAAATAGTAATTAAAATTAGCAGTATAAATGCATTTCAAACCACTGAGTTAAGCAAGTGTAGGTTTGAAACTTACAAACCCACTTCAAACAGACAAACTACATCATAAGATTGAAGTTCTGCTAAGTTTCCTGATAGAACTTGTCAAGTTCTCTTCGTCATAATGAATACAGATGCCGAGAACTGTTCTATAAATATCAATAGTTTTCGAATCGTTGAGCGATTTTTAAAAGAATAACTTCAAAACTGCCTCGTGACAATA